AGCTGTTGGAAAGCCTTTTCGCCTTCCTCGGACCACTCAAACTTCTTGTTTCCCTTCGGAGTATCGTAGAAAGGAAGACATTTATCCGTTAATCGCGAGATGAAGTGGTTAAGTGCCGCATCTACTGGTTAATCTCTGTACTTCGTGCTTCTTTCTGGGGGGACACCATTTCTATTGTCGCTGTGAGAACCGAAATTCACACCGTCAAGATTTGTTAATCAGAGGAAAGCTAAGCTAACCTAGCCTCCCCTGAAGGTCCCGGTTATCTGTGGGGCCACACACGACACAATCAATATGAAGGAGTTAAAAACGAGAAAAAACGTAAAAGATCATGAAAGAGCAGAAAAAAAGAGAATAAGAGGATCTTATTTCCGTATTCGCGTTTGAGCAGGGACAACAGGTAAGGACCTTGGATACAAGAGCTGTTGGTACGTTCGCTAGTCTAGCAACCTAAATCTAACCAAGTTGGGTCGCAGATCGATAGTAAAAACGGAAAAAGATGCCTAAATTTCTCTAAGTGCTAAGTTTCTCTGAAAAAGCTCTCTCTTTGTTCCTCGCCCCAAGCTCCCCTTATATACTCCCCCTAGGGCGGTTTACTTCTCCTCTTGGGCCGAATCGGGCTTTTCCATTTTTGTCATACTTCATGATTATCCTCGGAAACTTTACATTTATCTTCGGAAACTTCATATTTATCTTCGGAAACTTCATATTTATCTTTTGGAAACTTGTCATTTATCTTTTCCTGCAAATAAAATAGACCGTCATACCAGCCTTGGGGCTCAATCGTTTTAAAATCGTAAGTGGGCCGTTGTCCCGTGATCCAGGCCTCCTTGAGCCGTTCTGGGACTCTAGACGTTATTACGATTTTTCCTGGAAGTAACCTTAGATGTGGTGATACGCCTTAAATTGAAGGATCACTCTAAGGTTGGTGGATTTGGATAAGCCTTGCACCGAATGAGCTGGAAATCACAAACGATCAAGGGATGTGGATCGAATGGTGACACAAGAAGTGCGGAAAGTCTCTTGATACTACCAACTTATAAGCCCAAAGATATGACACACTCTGACGACTTAGAAGCTACGATGATCGATGAAGAACAAAGGATTCAACAAGTGAAAAGAAAGATGATTTTTATTAAGAAGTTGAATGAATTACAAAGGAAATACTTAGGCCTTTATATAGTAGGCAATGTGGTATACAAAAGGTTTAGTCAAAACCTAGAAACTTGAAAATTCATAAATATAAAATACTTGACCAGAATAATAGTTGTCCTTGACTTAAAAAAGGTTGGACAGTTTTTGTTGAATGACTTTTAGTCTGGTTGTGTCCTTTCGCCTGGTTGAAGCTCTCGGAATTGCCGTCAGATTAATATATTATACGACCATGGCTTATATTTTGTTGGTGGGCCGTTCTTGGACAAATCCAAACACTGATATCTTATTGAGCATAAGGTCTTCACGTTCTGCATCAAGCCCATTAGCTTCTCTCGGTCTAGAACTTCATGGATCAAACCGATAAGGCCCATAAAATGCCCATTAAGCCAAGCTATGATCAGTTGCTTAGCTTGTTTGTACCTTAAGCTCCTCTTTGAGACATGACTGCTGATCTGGGTCGCATCATCCCCTTCTCCTTTAAAAGAATTTGTCCTCAAATCTGAACCTTCTTGGATGAATGAACCGACATGGTTTTGCTCAGCCAAGGTGTTTCTACTTTTCTTGTGTACATACGCCCATATTCCAGGCTCAAAGATAAATTGTTGTATAACCTCTACAGGTCTCAGTAGCTCACTTGGGTCATACTCCTTGCAAACGAATGGCTGAACCAGTTTATCACTTGATAAAGAACCGAGAATATCACCTGAATCATAAGTGGGTATGATATATTTTTCATGATCAGCTTCTGGTCCTCTATCAACCACATCTTCAGCCAAATTTTGGACAGCAAGGAGAACAATTAAAGCCTCTGGTTCGTCCTCCTCATCAAAGATCGGACTGAGATCGTCCTTAGATTCTGCTCGGACATAAATAGTCGATAGCTCCGGTTCGATATCTTTGGCCTCCTGATTTTCTTCTAAAGCTGAAGATAGATGTGGGTTTGTGATCCTTTGATGGATCTTAGCCTTGAAACTCTCCAGCCATCTCTCAAAACCCTTATTCCTCTTCTCTTCAGTTCTAGTCAATGGAGTCTCTACAACCGGTTTTGATTGTGGCTTTTGGACTGCCTTCTTTGTGCTGCTCGTTCTAAATCCCACTGAACCAGAATCAAGGGAGATTCGTGTACCTTCTCTGCTGATTGGTTTCTTCCATTTGTCTCTCTCAGGTCGTGACTTCTTGGCTTCCTTCCCTTGCTCACGCACATATTGTGCTTTAATATCGGCTGTGCGTTTGTTGTACCGCCATTCTTGCAACTTTTCTTCTTGTATTTTGCGCGCTGCCTCTTCTTCATGGTTGATCAGTAGCCCAAACACATGTGATCTCTTAGAAGATGAACAGGTAAGAATGCTTGACTTCTCTTCATGGTTTCTCTTTAGTAGTCCAAAAGACACATACAATCTCTTAGAAGATGAAGAGTTACGAATGGCTGGCTGTGAAGAATTCTGAACCTCAGAGTGGCTCTGATACCACATGATACGCCCTAAATTGAAGAATCACTCTAAGGTTGGTGGATTGGATAAGCCTTGCACCGAATGAGCTGGAAAGCACAAACGATCAAGGGATGTGGATCGAATGGTGACACAAGAGGTGCGGAAAGTCTCTTGATACAACCAACTTATAAGCCCAAAGATATGACACACTCCAACGACTTAGAAGCTACGATGTTCGATGAAGACAAAGGATTCAAAGAATTAAAAGAAAGATGATTTTTATTAAAAGGAAATACTTAGGCCTTTATATAGTAGGAAATGTGGTATACAAAAGGTTTAGTCAAAACCTAGAAACTTGAAAATACATAAATATAAAAGACTTCACCAGTATAATAGTTGTCCTTAACTTGAAAAGAAGTTGGACAGTTTTTGTTGAATGACTTTTAGGATGGTCTTGTCCTTTTGCATAGTTGAAGCTCTCGGAATTGCCGTCCAATTGATATATTATACGACCATGGCTTACATTTTGTTGATGGGCCTTTCTTGGACAAATCCAAACACTGATATCTTATTGAGCATAAGGTCTTCACGTTCTGCATCAAGTCCATTCGCTTCTCTCACTCTAGAACTTCATGGATCAAACCGATATGGCCCATAAAATACCCATTAAGCCAAGCTATGATCAGTTGCTTAGTTGGTTTGTACCTTAAGCTCCTCTTTGAGACATGGCTTCTGATCTGGGTCGCATCACGTGGCATTGATCTTTCCGAGAGGATCCCAATTCCTCGTATAGTTAAGGCAGTTGGTGTTTAAGTTAACCGTAGCTGTTTTATACGATTTTGAAGGGATCCTCTCTACAACCAAGTCTTTATGATCATTCCGAAGTCTTTCTTCGATAATCCGAGATGGAGGTGTCGTGTCCAAGGACCCTAGGATCGTGTTACGGGAAATAAAGACGAGGGCACATGGTTAGTTGGATCGGGATCAGGCTATCCTCGCTCGTGGGCGAGATGAACTTTGCCTCGGTTCACCTCTCCCATGGGCGAGGTAATATTTGTACTGATTCACCTCGCCCTTGTGCGAGGTGACACCGGTTCTGGTTAACCTCGCCCATGGGCGAGGTGACATCGGTACTGGTTCACCTCGCCCATGGGTGAGGTGACCTTGGTGTCGGTCCATCTCGCCTATGTGCGGGGTGATCTTACCCAGGACGGTTCGGTTCTCGAGTTTCGACTCATCTCTTTTCGTATTGATCCTTTCGGGAATTCTTGTTTAAGAAGTTTTCCTCAAAGAATACGTAAGATGGTATTCCTAGCCGTTAATTTTGAGATAACCGTTTTTAAACCCAACAAGATTGACCGGAAGTTGGTTTTCCGGGAACTTTCGGACATTGATTCCATCGTGACCGATTTTGACCCCAACAGTTAGCCCCCCCCCCCCAGCTAGCTAGGATACGTGGACCTGAGTGTTAGGTCCTAGCTCGCGGTATGGTCTGTTCTAGGTGGAATTAGACGTAATCGTTTGTTGAAAGTTTGAGGATGAACAGTAAAAAAATTTCTATAAGGTAGAAATTCTCTCTCAAAGATCTCTCTCTCAAAATGTCTTTAAGGAAGATATCCTCCAAAAAGAAAACTTCTTCTCAATCATCTTTGGATGTTCCTAGTTCGAATGAGGGGATTTCCCTCAAGGAGGAATTCGAAGTCGAGCAAGAAGAGAAGGATGCATATTGGGATGCTCTATGTGGCTCGATCACCCCTCCGCCCAAGGTTTTCTTTCCGAAGACACCTGCCATGGGGATTGACCTAAACGCCCCGAGCAGGACCTCCTCTTCCTACCTTAGGACTCTCCAAAAGTTCTAGAAGGTACCAAGCGGGGTAGTGTTCCGAATTCCGACAAGCGGGGTAGTGTTCCGAATTCCGACAAGCGGGGAGAGCACGGAGAATCCCCTGGAAGGCTTCTTTACTTATTATGAAGCCTTCCTGACGTATTGCCGCATGTCGTTTCCGATCCCTGAGGCCATCATCCGCGGTCTTAACCGTTTCAGATTGTCGATCAGCCAGCTGAATATTGCCGCCTTGCAGCATTGGTTTGGCGTGTTGATCTTAAGCTATGTGCTCAAGATGGACCTTAGCTCTGATGAATTTGAAGGGCTAGAAGACGGGGAATGGATACTCGTTCCGTATGCACCCCAAGAAACACATGTCGACCATCCAGGGGCATCATTCCAACCCTAAGGGGTGGTTCGATCGTTTCTTCTTCGTTCAAGCGGACGGTGAGTCCATAGAGGAGAACTGCCTCCACCTGTTTCGTAGCGAATGGAACTTGAACCATGGTAATACGATTGGTGTCTTTGTTTTGCCTTGATTTCAAGAGATATCTGATTGCTTTTGGTATATATTTTTTTTTGCGGTGAACATGGTCCTTCTGGATACTCCTAGGGATCTCTACGCTAAGCGGGACTTGCTCCACAGAGGTCTGTTCTTCTGGAACTCCTTTACCCTCGATAGGATCCGAGATGCCGTGGAGCTCCATCGATCATGCGGCATCCTCCGACCCTTGCATTTGTCGGACGCAGACGAGCCGCGCTCCAAAGCCGTTCCTGCTCAAAGGGAGAGGGTTAGGCCTCAGAAGGATAAGGGGATTGCTTTCAGGAGTGTCTCGGAAGATCCTCCGATCCCTGGATGGGAAACGGGTAACTGGAGCGGAGCAAGTTAAGTTCCCATTCGGACTGACTTCTTTGACAACGTTCCTCCCGGTTTTACCACTCAAGCGTCTTTGATCGAGGCATCGGGAGAGAGGTGGTCGCGGAAGGCTCTCGGTTGATCAACGAGGTTCGGTCTCTGAATCCTTTCGAGAAATATTTAAATTGTTATTTCCGTTTTTGACCCTCGATTTGTACAGGGAATGCGAGTTTTTAACTCGGTATTAGACGGAGGTTTCAGAGAAGCGCGCCTTTCGCATTTCAAGGCTGAGGAGATCGAGAGGAAGTTCATTTAGTTCCACAGCCAGGTGGCGGAGCGAGACCATGCACAGACTGAATCCCATTCTCGTGCTCTTGTCTGTGCGGAGAGGAGAGTGAGGAGGAAGGCTGCCACCGAACTGGCAAGGAGAGCCGCCTTGTTCAACAACGAGTTCCAAGGTCTTAAGGAAGCTCATGAGGACATGGGTGACTTCCGCGAGTGCCGTGGTTCAGTCGCTTCCCTCTTGAAGTCGCAGGACGCCGACTTCTCCTTTCTTCCTGAGATTGCCATCATGTCAGGCCTTATGGATGGGGGTGTTCATGCTGAGTCACGGGTTCCTCCGATCGAGGGGAGGATCCGATAGTTTTGGGAGCCCATTGAGGTTTCTGAGGATACAGTGAAAGCCGGAGCTGGTGTCGGGGATGCGGAGGGCGTCACGGCTGAGTAAGGAGAGGTGGATCAGCCAGTGAGCTCCTTTGGAGCCTCCATGACTGGTTTCATTGACCTCTGATCCTCTAGGTGGTCAGGGATTGTTTCCCTTAGTTTTTATCTTAAGGTTTTGATGAATGTAGGCCGAGTGTGGCCGTATTTTATCTTATGTGTGTTATGGCCTTGTGAGGCCATGTGAACTATGTATTTGGGACCGGCCGTTGTTGGCTTTGGGTCCTAGCCATTTTGGCGGCTTTATATATATGACGAATTTATCAAAATTTTGTGTGTTTTAGTTTTCCTTTTTGGCCATATCCGCTCGAAACTCGGCAAGACGAGCCTCAGCAGTGCGGTTGTCCAGGGCACGGCTCATGATATGGAAACCTACCAAAAGGAAGAATCAAGCCATGTCATAAAAGCTGCTCGAAAACGAAAACAATAAACGTACGTACCTCCTTTGCTATCTCAGACCCCCTAGTAAGCTCCGGAACCTGATCATGGTCAACGTCCGGAAAATGGGAGGTCGATGATCCGCCTGCCCTCGTCCAAAAGCCGTCTTCCGCCTGACTATCAAGAAAATCCTTGAGGATATTATCAGGAGAAGTCGCACGCTCAAACTCATCGTCTTCAATTACCGGATTCTTATCCCTTCGGAAGCGAGATTTTCTGTTCCCCATCGAGGGAACATGCGGAATGAACTCTCCGATAAATGGATCCTCCTCGTAAATAGGAGAATTCGCGAAACGTCGAGATCGGAAGAAGGTAACCGCCTGACGGACGCGTTGCGGAGAAAAACTACACCAACCAACTTCACCACGTTGGAGAGAAGTAGTGATCTCCGGAAGATCCGCAGGATACGGAGGCAGAGGATTGGTCACTGCGGAAAAACAAGAAGCCATTTTTAAAAAAAAATTGATTAAAAATACGAATACTCATAATAATAAGGGTTCGTGCGAATCCAAGGCATATACCTCTCTGACCCCACACGGTCGTAAAGAACAGAATGCCGCCCTCCTCAACCGACGCACCGTCGATACGAACATAGAAGAAATTCTTCTTCCAAGAAGTAGAAGGCGTTGAGCAGCCCGTAACAACTTCTTCGCGAGGGTTTAGCGTGATCCTCCGCGATTGTCCTGTAGGTCTTAACAAACCCTCGAGATGATCGACGGTAAGGGTGATTCCTGCTCGTAACTTAGCGTCAAAAGACCGACGAGTTGCTTCAAACTTTGAGGGTTCAACTGACTAATCGACAGTCCTAGCCTGTGAAGGAAGTGCACAATAACTTCCGGAATCGGAAACCACAGATGGCATTGTTGCAGGAAAATGTTGTAACATGTGAAGAAGCCGTCGGGTGCATCCTCATCACTCTCCCCGGCAAGTGGAGAACGAAACTCAACGGCCTCCGGGACTCGGCAGAATTCACGCATGTAATCAACGCTATTCAAAAGTGTCAAACTCGAACGTCCGGAAATCTGATCGACGTCCGACAAAACTTGAACCCAAGTTCCAGGCCTAGCGGACCTCGATTTGTCTCCAATCGCCCAGAAGGCCTCGATATCCGCCGGATCGGCCGACGGGGACAAATACTCCTCTTTCGGGTCCAAGGCTGGAGGCTGCGAACTCGTTCTTTCAGAATTCTGAAAATTTGAACTAGTCGAAGAACGAGTTTTTCTTCCTGAAAACATGCTTGAAGATCTTCAGAGAAAGTAAAGAGAAAAAGTTCTTGAATAAGTTGTAAAAGATGGAGTAAAGAATTCAAAATTTTACTCCATATACTTATAGAGAAGAATTTTACTATTCACCTTTGGACTTTTGGCCATTAAAGTTCCGCCTAATTCCACCAAACTCGCCAAACAAGCTCAATCCACCCGCAAGAATCTCACGATTCTTACGAGCTGGGGGGTTAACTGTTGGGGTCAAAATCGGTACGACGGAATTAAAAGCCAAAACTTTCCACAATAATACAAAAAGAACAGTTTTATAAAGCTCGAGAATCGTTTTATAAAACTCAAGAAATCGTTTTATAAAACTCGAGAATCGTTTTATAAAACTCGAGAATCGTTTTATAAAGCTCGAGAAATCGTTTTATAAAGCTCGAGAATCGTTTTATAAAACTCGAGAAATCGTTTTATAGAGCTCGAGAATCGTTTTATAAAACTCGAGAAATCGTTTTAAAAAGCTCGAGAATCGTTTTATAAAACTCGAGAAATCGTTTTATAAAGCTCGAGAATCGTTTTATAAAACTCGAGAAACCGTTTTATAAAACTCGAGAAATCGTTTTATAAAACTCGAGAATCGTTTTACAAAACTCGAAGATCGTTTTACAAAACTCGAAGATCGTTTTTATAAAACTCAAAAGTCGTTTTATGAAATCCGAAGATCGTTTTATAAAACTCGAGAATCGTTTTACAAAACCGCAAAAAACCGCAAAAAACCGAAAAAGCCGTAAGACGCGAACTAGTCGCAACTAGTTCGCGTGTACGGCTTTTTCGGTTTTTTGCGATTTTGTAAAACGATTCTCGAGTTTTATAAAACGATTCTCGAGTTTTATAAAACGATTCTCGAGTTTTATAAAACGGTTCTCGAGTTTTATAAAACGGTTCTCGAGTTTTATAAAACGATTCTCGAGTTTTATAAAACGGTTCTCGAGTTTTATAAAACGATTCTCGAGTTTTATAAAACGGTTCTCGAGTTTTATAAAACGATTCTCGAGTTTTATAAAACGATTCTCGAGTTTTATAAAACGATTCTCGAGTTTTATAAAACGATTCTCGAGTTTTATAAAACGATTCTCGAGTTTTATAAAACGATTCTCGAGTTTTATAAAA